TGGTCACCCTACCACCCTCGCTGCACTACTCGGGTGTCCGGGCCCAGGACTCCGCGGTAAGGACCTGGGGCAGGGCTCCTTCCTGTGACTTTTTAGAATTTTTTATTAGTTATAAGTCTTATGACATTTTCAAACCTGTGTATCACTGCACTTAGCTCATCATAGCCACTTCCGCTACTCTTCCTCTGTCTCCCGAGTGCTGGGACTAAAGGCGTGTGCCACCACCACCCATCTAGGTTTCTTATATGAGAGAAAATGTGATGTTTGCCTTTCTGAGTCTAGCTTGTTTTGCTTAATGTGGTGATCTCCAGTTCTGCCCATTTCTTCTTTACGACTCCATTGTGTAGTCACATGAGGTGCCATTTTATGGGTGTCAGCAACCCAAAATGACCTGTTCTTCCCTTCCCTGATCCAGGAGAAGCCGCTCTGCCTGTCCAATGACAATGCCTCTCACGTTGAGTGCGAGCTGGGGAACCCTATGAAGAGAGGGGCCCAGGTTGGCATATCTAGCTTTTTCTGTCTATGTGGCCCATCTTTAAGACCCAGCTCTCTCCCGACTCACCTGTCATTCCACAATTGGCAGGTCACTTTCTACCTCCTCCTCAGCACCTCTGGAATCACTATTGAGACCACAGAGTTGGAGGTGAAGTTGCTGTTGGCCACGTAAGACTCGGGGAGGTGGCTAGGTTGGGTTACTTAGAAAGGCTTCAAGTGCCTCATGGAGTTTCCTGTGCCAACTGCCCACACATTCCCACGTTTGCCCGCCAGGATCAGTGACCAGGAGCTGCATCCGGTTTCTGTTCGAGCTCAAGTCTTTATTGAGTTGCCGCTGTCCATTTCAGGGTAGGTGTTGCTTGCGTGGGTCCTCTGTCACTCTGGCTTGGGCTCTGGCTTACCGGGCCCCTCTTGTCACCTCCCTGCAACCAGGGTGGCCACTCCCCAACAGCTCTTCTTCTCTGGCGTGGTGAAGGGCGAGAGCGCCATGCGATCTGAGAGGGATGTGGGCAGCAAAGTCAAGTACGAGATCACGGTAAGCATCCCGTCGTGTGGCTCCAGAGAAGAGACTGTTGAGACGTGTCCCCACATGGCAGCATGGTGGCCCAGGGATCCCACGTCTCCGCACTGGGCAGACATAGCTCTAGGCACGTGCTGGTGCTGGGGTTTCAGCGAGCCGTCTGGACAGGCCATCTCCCCTGCAAGTCTGAAAGGCACTGATAACTCAGAGGAATGGGGTCTTGGGCAGAGTCTATAGCTTTCATTAATATTTTGCCCTGGAGAGATGGCTCAGAGGTTAGGAGCCCTGGCTGCTCTTCCAGAGGTCCTGAGTCCAATTCCCAGCAACCACTTGGTAGCTCACAACCATCTGTAATGAGATCTGGTGTCTTCTTCTGGCCTGCAGGCACACAGGCAGACAGAAAACTGTATACATAATAAATAAAGAAATCTTTAAATAAATACTTTGCCCTGGTTTGTCCTAGATCCCCTCACACTTGCCCAGTTTTTCCTGGTTTGGTATGAGGAGAGAATGATGCCCAACCTAGTGTAGACTACGCAGCTTTGGAGAGGCTGCGCTCCCCGAGGTGTCCTCCACACCAGCCTTGCCTCTCTCTCTGTGACGTAGGGTCCACTCAGAATCTGAGCTTCATTTCCTCACGCTGCTTTGGGCCCATAGGTCTCCAATCAAGGCCAGTCGCTCAACACCCTGGGCTCTGCCTTCCTCAACATCATGTGGCCCCACGAGATTGCCAATGGGAAGTGGTTGCTGTACCCCATGCGGGTGGAGCTGGAGGGTGGACAGGGGCCTGGGAAGAAAGGGATCTGCTCTCCAAGACCCAACATCCTCCGCCTGGTAAGGCTTAGGCAGGGCAGGCAGGGTGAAACATGGGGTCAATGTCATGCATTGTGTGTGTGTGTGTGTGTGTGTGTGTGTGTGTGTGTGGTGGCGTGGAGATGCCGGGCTGCGGTATTTGGGGGGACCCTCACTGCTCCTTCCTCTTCCCTGTCCAGGATGTGGAGAGCAGGGATAGGAGACGCCGAGAGCTGGAGCAGCCGGAACCGCAGCAGCCTCCCAAGAAGCTGGAGCCCAGCACATCCTGGTGGCCAGTGTCCTCTGCTGAGAGGAAGAGAAACATCACCCTGGTGAGGACAGCATGGCTACAGCACAGCCACAATGGGGGTTCATGTGTGGCAGAGGAGGCCATCATAGGTGAACAGAATGTCAGGGAGCTGGGCGTCCATGGAGGTCAGTCTGACAAGGCACACGGTGCTCAAACACCGGGGACAGACGGACAGTCAGACAGTCTGCATCCCAGCTGGAGCAACACAGGACCTGTGAGGCAGCTCCTGACATCTCAGACCCTGCAACTCCCAGTGTCCACTCCGGGGCCAGCTAGGTAGCCTAGCAACCAATCCGGCTCATTTATATAAAACTTCACATTTTATAAAGGATGGGGTGGACTCAGCCTCTTGGCCTCCACTTTTTTTTTTTGTTTTTTGTTTTTGGGATCATGGTTTCTCTGTGTGTCTTTGGCTGTCCTGGAACTCATTCTGTAGACCAGGCTGGCCTCAAACTCACAGAGATTCGCCTGCCTCTGCCTCCTGAGTGTTGGGATTAAAGACGTGCGCCACCAGGCTCAGCACTCCGTGTTCTCACAGTTAAGATTATGATTCCACATCCTCATAATTAAGTAGATACACAAGATTCGTGAAGTTGTCTATCCCCTTTGAACAGTTTTGCCTCCCACACGGTTTTGGTGTTTAGCTGGATTTGTTGAACTCTCTGTGTTTGTCCCTGCTGGGGTGGTGCTGACAGCAGGAATGTGGTACAGATGTCAGTCAGAGACACCGTGGGTGGAGCTAAGCCTAGGCAGGCATGATCAGGACAGCCCTGGAGATCCTCGGCCAGTGGCTGTAAGCAGTTGGCAGACTCTGTCACACTTCATCCTCTTTCTGGGCTGAAGCCTCCCCGTGCCCTTCTGATATCTAACCCAAGGCTAAAGATCTTTGGCAGGCTCTGTGTCTGGAACTACCTGCTGCTGTAATATACATCTAGTCCTGCATTGTCCACAGGACTGACAGCTCTGAGAGACTCCCTGTTTAACAAGAACTTTGGAATCGTTCACTTTTATTTCTTTATTTAGGAATAATTTTTCCCCTCTTTTTTTCTATTTGGAGACAGGGTCTCTCTGGTTTGCCCAGAACTTGCTATGTAGACCAGGCTGGCCTTGAATATACAGAGACGCTCCTGCCTCCTGAGCGCTGGGATTAAAGGCACGTGCCACCATGCCCAGTTTAGAAACAGTCTTGAACTCATGGCAATCCTACCTCAGCCGTCACAGGGCTAGGATTACAAGCATGTGCCACCATATCTAGTTACTTATTGTGCTTATTTTTATTTTAGAACTAAGCAGTGCATCAATCTATAAAATACATTGTGTTCCCTCTTTACTTAGCTGGGTTGGAGACCAAACTAGAGCCTTGTCTATGCCAGACAAACACTCTATTACTGAACTACGGCCCGGCTTTTCATTCTTTTGAGAGAGGAAGGGACATTGTGCTATGCAGCCCTGGCATCCTTCCAAATTGGAATCCTTTTATTTCTCCTCAGATGCTGGAATTACAGGTGTATGCTCCTGTGCATGCCAGGCCCACACCAGAGCAGTCCCAGCACTTAGAAGCCTAGGTAGAATTTGGATACATTTCAGGCTTGTTTGTGTTACACAGTGAGACTCTGGCTCAAAAAGAAAGTACCTTGCTTAACTGAAGTAGGTACTAGGTGCTTAATAATTGAGACAATATGTTGAGTAGGTATCAACTCAGGAAGCCACTCTACCTGTTGCTAGGAAGTGAAAGACTCTTCCCAATGTATTTCAAAGCCAAATAGTCGAGATTTGTGGTTGGTAGCTATTCTGGGCCAGAGTTAGCTCCGGAAGACTTCCTGGAGGAGTTGAGTTTGAGGTGAGATGAGGAACATAGGAGAAAGAGCAAACTCATGGGCCTGTTGGCTCAGGGGCCTGCATATCCTTGTCCCTAGGACTGCGCCCAGGGTACCGCCAAGTGTGTGGTGTTTAGCTGCCCACTCTACAGCTTTGATCGTGTGGCCGTGCTGCATGTGTGGGGCCGCCTCTGGAACAGCACCTTTCTGGAGGTGAGGGCATGCCTGGGTTCCAGGCTGGGCACCTTCTGCAAAAATCAGAGCTTACTTTTACCTCTTCCCCGTCCAAATGCAGCACCTCTAAAGCCAAGCCAGGCAGACACCCTCTGCACTGGCACCCTTCCAATTGTAATCTCAGTGGCTGGAGAGGGGTGAGGGGAAGGAGCATGGGCATTTAAGAGTCTCCTTCCGGACCCATTAGGAGTACATTGCAGTGAAGTCCCTGGAAGTGATCGTCCGAGCCAACATCACAGTGAAGTCCACCATCAAGAACTTGTTGCTCAGAGATGCTTCTACAATGGTGAGTTGTCCAGCTGGAGGATGGGGTGGGTGGGTGGGGGCTCCCCCATTCTCCACTCAGCCTAGCTTTTGCCCTATTAACTTCTTGTTCCTCAGATCCCAGTGATGGTGTACTTGGACCCCACGGCTGTGGTCGCAGAAGGGGTCCCCTGGTGGATCATCCTCCTGGCAGTGCTGGCTGGGCTGCTGGTGCTGGCCCTGCTGGTGCTGCTGTTGTGGAAGGTGAGGCTTGGGGGAGGGATGGAACCAGTGTGAACCAGAATTAGAGTAAGGTGGCTGGCCGTTCCCTTCCCCCACATGCATCTGTCTAGCAGCTCTACCTTAAGCGCTTACCGTGTATGCCCCAGGACCCCATCTGCCCTGGAAGTTTCAGTTGACTCCAATGCACAGTCTGTCCTCAAGGACTGTGTAGTCTAGTGGGCATGGGGGAAGTCTTGTAGTTATGGACAAGGCAGAAGGGGCTGAATTGAGACTGTAGGAAGCCAGAGGAAGGGAGTCTTTAGAGGACTGGTCCCCTGGAGCTGGGCCTCAGACGGTGAAGAGGTAGGATAGGGATGTGGGTGGATGGTGTGAATGGGATGTGAGACTTCCGGAATAACTAACGTGGATAAAGCCATAGGAGTAGGAAAGTGTTATCTGATTTAACCAGAGTACGACCGCAAAGGTTGTGAAGGAAGCTGTGATCAAGGCCAGCAATGTTGGAGCACTAGCTCCAGGGGGCTGCTGGGAGCTGTCACTGTGGAACCACTCTCGTTCCTACAGAGCTGTGACAGAATCCTACTGGCTCAACATAGAAGTGCACATATGCACATGTCAGTGCAGGGGATCTCATGTTCCACCAGGGACCATCCCTGAGCCACACACGGGGCTTGTGCAGAACCAAACACATCCTTGGGGCTCTGTAGACTGCCCTGCCCACCTGTTATTTGACAAGTGTGTATCATCAATGAGCCAGCTCTGGAGTCACTAATGCCGCTGAGAGCTTGCCCAGTCCTGGGAACGATTAATATCTCCAGGATTGGCCTCAGGATACCTGTCCCATCCTCCACTCCCATAGACGGGAGACAGGCAGATACAAAAGCCCCCTCCCTCCTCAGCCTTCCCATCCTCTGCCTCTTTCCCCCTCTCCCTCAACACCCCAGTGTGGCTTCTTCCATCGGAACAGTCCAAGCTCATCATTTCCAACCAACTATCACCGAGCCCATCTGGCTTTGCAGCCCTCGGCCATGGAAGTTGGGGGTCCAGGGACTGTGGGGTAACTGCTGTGTATGCAAATGTGTGTGTATCTGTGAGTGTATGTGTGTGTTTCTAAGCACAGATCCAGCATTGGGAAGGGGGGGGGGTCAGGAGCGTGCAGGGTAAAGAGTACAAGACTGACGAGGGTCTGAATTCTTGAGGTAAGGAGCAATTGGAATGTGGGGTTATAAGTGTAAGCATACACAGTCCAGCATGCACAGGTAGTGAGCAGGAGTGTCAGCATGTGAGCATGTGGGGTCCCGTGCATGTCTTTTCTGTGGGAGTGAGTGTGCAGAGATGATTGTGCAAGGAGGCTCTGTGCTGTCTGAGCATGCAGGAGTCTTGGCTGTTCTGAGTTTCAGTATGCAAGGTGCCAACACCGCCTTGGTGTTCATGGATGCGAGGACTCTGGTCTAAGGGGATGCTATTCTGCGTACAAGCACGCAGGTGTATGTCTTTGGGTCATCATTCTGGGTATTTGGGAGATCTGGGACACTATTTTACACCCTGGATCCTGTGTTCTAGGAGACATTACTGAGGTTTTTAAGAAGCTTGGGTGGGAGAAGAAAACTTGGGAGGTCCAGATGTTCAGTTTCAAGTCTCTCTTCCAGGGGCCAAGGGTGATTTCCTGGGTTTTGCATCTTGGGTTTCCTACTGGTCATCCTCTGGCTGTGAATGAGAACCTGAGACCCTGGTACTGATGGTAGTGAGCTGGGAGTTGCCCACTGTTCTGGAATTTGGCCGGCCTACCTCACGTTTGTTTGAGCTGCTTCTTTCTAGCTCAGGAATGATGAGCCTCAGCCCTTCAGGCTTCTCATGGCCTGTCTCGGTACCCTTACAGCTGGGGTTCTTCAAGCGTGCAAAGCACCCCGAGGCCGCTGTGCCCCAGTACCACGCAGTGAAGATCCTTCGGGAAGACCGACAGCAGTTCAAGGAGGAGAAGACCGGAACCATCCAGAGGAGTAACTGGGGCAACTCCCAGTGGGAGGGCTCTGATGCACACCCCATTCTGGATGCTGACTGGCATCCTGACCTGGGTCCTGATGGAACGCCTGTGCCAGTCACTGCCTAACTTCCCTTGTCCCAGGCCTGTGCGTCTCTTCCACCCTTTCCCAAGATGGCTCCTTGGGATGGAGATAGTGCATTAGGTTGTTGGTATCACACTGAGATGTGGCAGGCTCTACTTCCTCAGGGGCAAAGACCTCTCCCACTGTGAGACACCCCCAACTTCCCCTTAGAATGCTGTGAGCCGAGGGGGCATTTCAGGGATGGGCTGTGGGGCATGGCTGGAAGGGGCAGGCACGGGTCCTGATGCGGGATGGGGAGGAGGGGTCCTGATCTTCTCTCACCCACCCTGTCTTCCCCAAAGTGCCTTAGACAGAGGGTCGGGAGGAGATCGTGTCACCGTCTCAGGGGCTCTTCCCTCCCCAGTCCTCCCTGTGCCCTGACCTTAGTGCTCCAGCCTAGTGGTTTTTGTCTATTTATTAAAAAGTATTTGACAACAAAACTCTGGTGGCTTTATTGGGTGCTGCTCTCTCATCTCGAGGGTTGGGTTTCTCTCTGTCCCTCTGAAGTTCAGGACAGAGTGGGTGCAGGGAAGGATGTAGTGTGTATCTATTGCTCAGTGTTGCTCTTGTTGGTAGTAGGTTTTAATTTGTGTATGTTTACCTTTCCTTTTCCTGGAATATACTTGGCATTTGTTATCATTGTGTATAGTTTTTGCACCAGGCTTAAAAATCTCCTTCTTTAGACTAGAAGGGGAATTTGCCTATGAACCTGTGAGGGCAGCCACACCCCCTTTGGGTGTGGCTTCAGTGGCTGGAAGTAGAAAAAGGTGTGGCCTCGTGGTCTCTGTCTCTTTCTCTTGGGTCAGTGGATCCAATTTGAAGGGCAGAAAAGCGCTCCTGCATTCTTTATTATTGTCAGTGTAAGTGTTCCCCAATAAACACCCATTCATCATTTACCTTGGGTCTAGTGAAATCATTACACCCTTGCCTTCAGAGGGAGGCCAAGGCGGCCTGGCGTTGACATGTGACTAGTTCCAGGGGGCACATGGGTGTAGTGTCAGAAGAGCAGCAGTGAGAATTTTACCATAGGGAGGAGGGAAAGGGAGGGTAGCAGTCCTTGAAGGTGAGCAGACAATGTCCAGGGCTCTGTGGTTGACAGTACGGCACTGTATAGTTTATGCCTCTGGAGAAAGCAGGAAGAAAGTCTCCTTGTGTTGAGGGACCGAGGCTAACCCTGGCTCTCTCATTCTTTACCTAACCGGGGTGGCTTCTGACTACAGGCAGGGCAGGAGCCCCCTTTTGGAGGATTATTTCACAGCTTTTCCCATGATGTGGGGCCCAACAGGTAGCCACCTGAAGGGAGCGGGCTGCCGCTCCATTTGGACGTTAGAGAACCGTGCCTTCTCAAGGTCCTTCCAGGTGTCTCTGGTGAGGTGGCAGCCATCCCCAATGTGTTTCCAGGTAGGCTCAAAAACTTGCTGCCACAGGAAGGCCCAGCTTCCCCGAGGCTCAGCCACGTGCTCCCAAAACAACAGCAGTCCTCCCTGGGAGGGGGGAGGGAGGGAGGAGGGAGTTGAGATCACTTATCTACTCCGTCTTGCTCTTTTTGTCTCATTCCCCCCCCCACCCCCTTTCTTTCAGCTTGTCAGATCTCTCTAAGTAAGGGCTTCTGGCCCGAGAGCTTATGGAACACAGTGCCCCTGACATTGTACGATTAGCTCCTGACCTCCTCACAGGGCACATAAGGACTTTAGGAAACTGGGCACCGGCGGCTGGTGAGAGGTCTCTATGGAACAGTGGGGAACAGGAGCGACCGAGGGTCCTTCCAGGTGTGTAGCCTTCCAGCGTGTGACACGACACACGTCTACCATGTTCATGCTCAAGAACTTTGTGATTGGGTTATAAAAAGTCACACAAGAAAGTCTCATTGTATTTTAAATTTACAGTTTTGCGCTGGGCCACTTTCAGATAAGCAGGAGCTGTGGGTTAGACGTACCTGCTAGATAGAGACGTGATTGCAGCCTCTCCCAAGACTCTGGTGTCCAGCACAACCAAGACACCCCAGGGTCCTGACTACAGCAGGGCTCCCTCAAGCTCTTTCTCCCAGTGTCCTCTTCCCAGGGAATTCATTCATTCCCATACTGAATTACCACCAGGAAGTCATACTGTCCACAGCTCTTTCTCCAGGACACATGACTTCCAGACCTACACGTCTAATGACCTGTGCGGCTTCTCTGCATGGAAAAGTTAGCAGATCCAGAGACCCAACACACCGAGAGCAGTGTTTTCCTATCCCAGCAGGTGGCCATCTCATCCACTCTCCTTTTGGTTGTGCAAGCCAGAAGCTTTGGAAATTATCATAAATTCCTTTCTTTCCACACTCAGCTCAAGCTCTCAGAGACTCTGCTCCCCCTAACACTTCGACTCAAAGCCTTCTGTTCCCTCCCTTTCTCCACTAGAACACCTTTATTCCCCCTACCTCCTCCATACCATGATACCTCTAACTCTTGTGATCTCAGTTTAAACCTCAGTCTGCAGCATCTTCCCAGATCCCCTCACCATTGTTCTAAGCAATAATGCCCTGTGTTTCCATAGCAACCCCTTTGCGCCCCACGCAGATCTCCTATTCACAAGAATAGGCCTGATGCCACTCGGGTGGCAGAGTCTGCGGTGGGAGGTTGAGCTACATCAGCTTCCCCATGTGGGGTCCTGAACTCCGGAGTTGTCATTGCTCTGTTCACCTGCCCTGGGCCCATACCCTTCCCACTCTGCTCACCGGCCTCAGGACTCTCTGGATTTCCTGCAGGACCTTTTTTGGGCTCCGTACAGAACACAGCACCAGGGTGCAGACCACCACGTCCATGGAGTTGTCAGCCAGTTGTCTCATGTCCTCTCCGTAAGCCACAATGAAACGCTCGTACTGCAGGTGCCTGTTCTCAGCCATGCTCTTTGTCAGGAACTTCTCAAAGTTGGGGTTTGGGTCCACGCAGGTGACCTTGCAGTCAGGCGGGTAGAACTGGAAGTTGGCCCCAGTGCCACAGCCCAGCTCCAGCAGGGCCACTTTCCCGGAGGTTCCCTTAAGATCTTTTATCTGGCTAAACAGTTCCCGTTTCTTGCTTTCCATCTTCTTGTTGGCCCTTTCTGTTAACATGGCCATCAAGTAGGGGAAGTAGGTTTTGCATACGGGCTGCCAGCAGCCCAGCAGAGCCAGTAGGTGCAGGGGAAGTGTCAGGATCAGTACCAGCAGTTGCAGAAATGGGACGAGGACATCCATGGTACCAGCCTCAGATGGTGTGTGTCCCCGGACACTGGCTTTTTTGCCTCTGCCCAGTCTGGCAGATATAAGTTTCCCCTCCTCCTTCGACAGGACTTTGCTCCTTGCCTCTTGCCTGGTATCTTTACTGGGTGGAGCATGAGTGTAAAATTCTCTAGTAGCATGGGTCACACAGCCCCACAGGCTCCTCAAAAGTTTTTTTTTTTTTTTTTTTTGTGGGTGAAGGACTATGGCAGTGCCTGTGTTACTGTGTTAAGGACAGATGAATATGGTTGAGTATGCTGTCTTACCTCAGAGGTGAGTAGGAGGAAGGTGGGGAGGACATGTTTCAGATCACAGCCTCATGCAGATCAAAGACTGGGGGCAGAAGTGACTTGCTCTCTTCAGGTCTGTCCAGGTTGTGCAAGCCAGAAATTCTGGTTGGATTCCCCTACCACACCTCCTGGGATTTTATACCCAGCAGCATACCTTTGCTATAAATGGTGGCCAAGTAGCATGAATGTAAGTCCCTAGAGGCATTCTGGTGAGTGACCAGGCCCCTTCTGTGAGGACCTCCAACTTTCAGACTCTGCCAATAAGACATCTAACTGCCGTAATGGCTGAACCCAGGCTCTCAAGACATAGGCAGCTGAACTTCGGATTCAAAAAACCACCAATCCCTGAACTTGAAATCCCATCAGTCCTTGGGCTCACCCCATAATCAAGATTTGAAATCCTATGGATCCCTACCTGGAAAGCTCCACTCCCAAGAAACTATGTAAACCCTGTCTTCTGCCCAGTTCTCTGCTGCTTCTTGCCGGAGCAGAGCAGATACCCTCCTGGCTTCTTCCCTCTCTCAGGTGGCTGCCAGGATACCTTTCCCTTTAGAGCTATAACCCTTTGGGGAAGCTGCACCCCAACCCCAGCAGGAGCAGAGCTGTAACTCTTCCTTCAGAGCTCTAACACTGTGCACAGTTAGGCCTGACTGGTCATGAGAAGGAGGGAGGTTCTAGCCAGGAGAAAAGCTCTGGGAAAAGCTCTGAGGCTTTGGAAACATGCCTCAGCAGGAGAGTGCTGGCCTTCTGTGCTTGAGGTCCTGCACTGAAGGAGGCCACGTAAAATAAAAACACCTTTAAATATTACATTAAAAATGTATGTATGCATATGTACATGCATGTATGTGTGTGTGTACGCACTATGGCGCAGTTGTGGAGTTCAGGTGATAGTTTGCGGGAGTTAGTTTTCTCTTTGTAGTATTCGAGTCCCAGGGATTGTCAGACTTGGCAGCAAATGCCTTTACCTGCTGATTCATCTCAACAGACTCTGATTTTACTTTTAATGTTACGAGTGTGTGTGTACATACATGTGCATGCATGTGCTTATGTGTATATGTGTGTATGTGCATGTGTGTGTGTATGTGTGTATATGTGTATATGTGTGTGTATGTGTGTGTGTGTGTGAATGTGTGTATATGTGCATATATGTGTGTATATATTTGTATATATGTGTGTGTGTGTGTGTGTGTGTGCATGTAACAAGGTTCACAAATAGAGGTCAGAGGACAACTTGTTGGGGGCCAGGTCAGTCTTTTCTTTTACCATGTGGTTCTGGGTGTCAAACCCAGGTTGTCAATTTTGGTGACAGGATCCTTTCCTGGCTGAGTCATCTCACTAGCTTGTTTTGTCTTTTTAAAGAATGTGTGATTAAATAAAATAAGATAAATTAAATCAAATAAAACTCACATGCAGTATTGGTCTGAGGATGTAGCTGAGTTGTAGAGTGTTTGCTTAGTTAGAATGCACAAAACCCTGAATTTAGCCCCAGTCCCTCTTAAATTATTTATAGTATAGCACACACATACTCAGCAGGCGGTCATAGGCCTCATATTCCCGCCCCCTAGGCCCCCTCCGTTTCCACATGTGTGAGTGATTTCTAAGCCATGACTCTTGTTTCCTGATTTGGTAAAGCCACACACTTTCCTTTCTATTGGCATGACCTTACCAGACCACGACCCACCTCTGGCTGGGGTACTGTGTTGCCTCGTGACCAGCTTCTTTATTTTCACCTTCTAGTGGATTCCCGCTATCCTTAACACAAAACCCGAGCTGCTTGCTGCTGCTCGTACAGCCATGCTTGCGATGGCCTCTGCCCACATCTCCTGCTACTGCCCCTCAATGCTCGGATGGAAACATCCCACAACTCCTCATACTCTCACTCCTTTTAGCTTTGGGGTTCAAGTAAAGTCTAGCCAAGATTATGTAGGCTAAGATCTGCAGAAGCTAAACCTCCTAGATGGAGTGGTAGGAGAGGCCCGGTCAGTCAGTGAGCACAGGTCAGGCCAGAAATCTCATAAGGCAGGGTGGAATTGGGGCAGGGACTAGGGCAGGGCTCTCGACTTGGAGGGTCAGGGAACAGTGAGCACTAGGAATGAGGCAAGGGTTAGGGCCAGGGTAAAGGTCAGGGTCTGTAAACAGCTAGAGCAAATATCATTCTTGTAGTCCAAGGCAATACTTGTACGTTTCAAAAGGGCGAGTGTTAAACTTCCCTGCATTATATTTTAAGTTTCTTCTCGTCACAAGGACACTCGCAGGGACAGTGAGGAATAGTGAGTGAAGAGCTTGGGGCTCCCAGCACTCTGTGTGTTTCTCAGTTAATTACATTTGTGTGCAGTGTGTGTCTCTTGCCTGCTGATTGTTCTAAGGTGATTGATGCTTTACTGTTCCCAGCAAAAACAATTGAAGTCGCCAGGTATGAGTTATAGCATGATGTGCCTGTGTTAGATAACCCCATTTTCTTGTTTGGCAGAGGAAAGAGAGAGAGAGAGAGAGGAGAGAGAGAGAGAGAGAGGAGAGAATGGATTGGAGTGTGTACCTATGGCCTGGAAGCCCCAAGAGACCTACAGTCCCTAACCAAACTCAGCCAAAAATTCCTCAATGCAATGACATTAGAGTTAGTATTGTACAGGGGATAGGGTACAATTCTTAACATTAGGAATGATACAGGACTTCTAGAGCTGGGTGGTTGCAGCTCATGCCTTTAATCCTAGCACTCAGGAGGCAGATGCAGGTGAGTTTGAGGCCAGCCTAATCTACAAAGTAAGATCAAGGCTGCACGGAGAAACCCTGTCTTCAGAAACAAAAACAAAAATGATACATGATTTCTTAATATAAAACTAAATGTTATTGACTTGGGTGAAAAATTAATCCACGCAATGATGCAGCGTGTTTGCTTCTTAGGTGGCTTGGCGGCAGCACACAGGGTCTGCCTGTGTCAAATGTGAGAGTGGAGATAGCTCTTCCCCCATTAGGATATGATGAAATCTGGACAAGAGAAAGTTCTGGTATGATTTGGTCAAAATCTTGAGCCTAAGCATGGACTGAGAGAAAGAGAAGGTCTATGCGAAACTCCCTCCTTTTAAAACACCCAGATGCGGAAGGGCTCCTTTGCTTGTGTGAAGCAGAGAATGGTTGTGTACAGAAGGCTGCAACTTCTAGTTCCATTTTGATGTGCTCTGTAATTGTTCCCTGGCCCAGATAAGAAAGGACACCAATAGGGGCATGATACAGACAGGGTCAAGTGGGCGGGTAATGACATACTTCCCCACGCCCTGGTCTACATAGCTAATGCCAAGCCAGTCATGGTTACATAGTAAGACCCTGTCTAAAAATTATTTTTAAACAAAAATATTTGTTTTTATTTGGTTTGAAACAAACATCAAAAGTACAGCCCAAAATGAGTAACTTCTTGCTGACATTTCTTCATTTTAAATATACCTACACCATGAAGACAGAGGACACTTAGTTCTCTATCTCCAGCGTCTGATTGGCCCTGCCTGCCACATGCAGTTTATAGGTGGAATGTGAAATCAACTGTGGCTCATGATTCTGTATGTTCTGGAATGAGAAACCACATTCCCCCTCTCAAGGCGGGTATGAACAGCATTAAAAGCAGTGGGCCACAGACTCAGAAACCAATTTACCAACATCACAAGGGTTCTTCACCCTGTCCTGTCCCTGAGCAACTCCATTCTAGTCTGGCTGCGGCTCCGAGGCAGCCACTGGCCTCATGATGTCCCTGCTGCGTTTCCCTGTCCCTCGCACCCTGGCTCTGGGGACATAGGGACATCTAAGGCTTCTTAGCCAGTGGGCTGACAGGCTGACTGAGTCCTCGGAGGCTTTTCTTTTTTTAGGGTTGTTTCTCTCTAACTCTTTAATGGCTCCTGTACTGAAGCAAGTTGCCATGTCCCTCATTTCACAGAGGTTTCCTTTGGGTATGACAAGAGCAGCTAGACTCCATAATAGTCTTCATGCTGTCTGTATATTACATCTCTAGACTAGTAGAACTAGTCTGTTACTTTGTAGCCTTTGATCTACATATCCCCCCATTTCCTCCCTCCTAATCCACAGTAGTAACCATTATTTTACAGTTTGAGGGTTGGATGTGGTATTGCATGCCTTTAATCTCAGCAGTTGGGAGGCAGAGGCAGGAGACTTTCTGTGAATTCAAGGATGGTCTGGTATACTTAGTAAGCTCCAGGTCAGCCAGGACTACAAAGAGAAACCCTGTTAAAAAAATACAATAAAAATTTTGAGGGCCCAGTGCTGGAAGTGAACTTGGGTAGCAAAGGCAGGTGGAGTTCTGTGAGTCTTAGGTCAACTTGATGTCTTTGTTAGGGTTTTTATTGCTTGTAATAATATCATAATGCAAAATACATTTGTTTCGACTTCAAAAGTCCTCAACAATGTTTAAAAGTCCCAAATTCAAAGTCTCTTCTGAGATTCTTGCACTCTCTTAACTGTAATGCCCTGTAAAAATCAAAATAAAAAAGCAGATCACATACTTCCAACATACAGTGGCACAGGACATACATTACTGTTTCAAAACAGAGGGAAGGGGGCATAGCAAGTAAGCAGTCCTGCAGCTTCTTAAAGAGCCCATCCTCAGAGAAGAGTCTAGAAAACTGCTGGAACAACCTCATTCACAGGGCTTGTGTTGATTGGCCACCCCATTTTAAACTTGCCATTTCCTGGTGGTGCTATTCACTGAAGCTA